TTGTTGATAGGAATGACACAGTGGGTCTTAGCTGTGTCATCATATTTCATGTTATAGTTTCTAGTTATAATTGCTTCTCTTTAAAAAAAAAATACACCGTGTTCTTTCATGTACTATGTACACGTTTCTTAGTTTGGAAGGGTGACATTTTTGTTCCAGGAGATGTTTGGTCACAGTTTTCAGTCCCATTGTGACACAGTCTTCTCTGCTTCTTCTGCAGTGTATTTTATTTGTTTCTTTCCATTTGTTTTGCACTTCTTATTCTTGTTCTATCTTTGTATAAATCTTGTGCTGGCGCCTTTCTGATTATGACTCATCTTCAAGTGTGACAAGTCCTCCCTGATCAGCTATTTATAGAAGGCTCCATCGGGGGCTCAGGCCCTGTCCTGCTGGCACAACTCCCCTCCAGACCAGCGTGGGCATGAGCCACCCCACAGGGAGCGGTGCAACATGCAGCTTCCTGCAGATGTGTCTTGTCCAGGGGCTCTCTCTACTTCTTTTTCATATCAAGCAAGGCCTGATGCTCACATTGTTTTTCTCTGAGGTGACACTCTGAAGGCTTGTGACCCCATAGCTTCGTAGGGTCTTCCTGCCCCTTTGGACCTGCCTGCATCTCCTTTCTGTCTACTGCCGTTGAGGCTCACACGATCTCCTGTTTCATTGGCGATAGAATGTGTTTCTCTTTCTTCTTCTTTTTCTTTATTTTTATTCCCCAAAGAGACGGCAATGTCATTTTTATTCTGATATTTTACATGTGAAGTCTCAAGTGCTCCAGGTCTTCTAAACTGCTGCTGGCAAGTCTGAAGTGGTCTGGTTCTAGATCCTCACAGGCATCCCAGTCTTTTCTTCCTGGAACTTTTAGATGGTTCCTCATCCAGATGCTCTGAGTTCCTCTGGCCAGGTCTCTGTGTGCTCATTACACCCAACAGCTTCACCCCTTAATGGGATTGTCTCATGAGTCACCTCTTCTTTCTGCTTTGGAAAATTTTCCTTTGTTATGTCCTAGTGATTACTCATCCTTCTTTTTTTTTCTCTGAAACTCATAGTAGTCAGACATTTTACTTCCCAGTTGATCACCTGTGCCTCTTCTCTCTCCTTGTGTGTTTCTCCTCTCTCCATTTTTTTGGAGATATGTTCTAAAGATACATTTGGCTCCAGCCTCCATCTATTCCATGGAACTTTAAGTTCAGCAATCATATTTTTAATTCCTTTATTGTTCTCGGCCTATTTGTAAATAGCATCCTGTTCTTACCTATGGATAAGCAATATTTTCTTGAATCTTTCTGAGAACAATAACTTGACTTTTAATTTAATTTTTTCTTGTTTCCTAACTTAGGTGTTTCCTTCCTATGTTGCTGATTTTCTTCCGAAAGTCTGGGGATACTTGGATGTCTGGGTATGTTAAGAATCTGTGGCTCATACTGATGAGCTACTGTGGGTTTCCGTGGACTTCTCTGAATGGATAGGGAAGCTGCAGGTTCTGTGTTCACAGACGGGGTTTGTTGGCTGTGCTTCATTTAGGATAGATAAATACACCTTGATACAGCCCATCCCAAGCCTGGATAAGGAAGATTTTACTTTGGGGCCTCAGACCCATACTAGAAGTTGTAGCCTAACCCAGGCTGTAGATTCAAAGTGTTTCAAGAAGGGCCCTCTGGTGTCTGCCTGCAGTGAAGCTGTTTGCTGAAGGGGGGGGGGGTGGCGGGCGGTGGCGGACGGGGGGCGGGGGGCAGGCCGTGGCGGGCGAGTAGGGGAGGCAGTTGCTGGAACCTCGCTCACAGACAATTACACCCAGTTACAATTACACCCAGCGTCTCAGCGCCTCTCTAGGGTCCCATCCCCTTTCCAACGTCAGAAATTGTTTGTCATCCTGTGTCCCATTCTCTTCACCACTACAGGTTTATTCTCCTTGCACTTGCTTTTCTTCCAGTCCAGTGGGGCTGAAGGAGGAAGGAGGCGGTGTGTGTACTCACTGCACTCAGCAGCCTACTCCATCATATTCGGCTTGAGCTCAGGACAGATGCCCTAGTCCACAATGACCAAACATTTGGGGACATTCTGCCACTTCAGGAAACCTCCTACATAGTATTTCCTGGGGAAATTAGGCCCTATTACACTTCAAAGAGCTTGGGTCATGCTTAGAATAGAGTGTAAGTTACTGTCTTTAGTCATGATCTTGTAAATCATATCCCGTAGCAGGATTGTATTTTTTTTTGTTTGTTTGTTTTTTAAGAACAAAAAGAAGTCAAGATTACAAAGAGAAAATGACTAGAATCTTCCTGAAGCTTTGGGAACCAGCGGGAGTGGGGGCTCTGAGCTTAAGCTTCTTTAGTTTCAGGTCAACCTGCATTTTCCCTGCAGAGATGCCAGTGGTGCCAGAGTGGGCTGGAGAGCCTGCAGAGCTGGAAAGAAGCAAGGAGACGGTGGGGGTGGAGTGGGGATAGAAATCTTTGAATTTGGCAGTGAGCAAGTAAGATTTTGGAAATCTCTCTCAGCATGGTCTCCATAAAGACGGGAGGCCAGGAGCCTGATTGGAAAGAGTCCAGTGAGCATTAGTTGTCAGGAAGCTCACACAGAGGTAGAAACAACTCATGGCAACCTGTGAAGCAGAGGAAAGATGGAGGACATCATAGGCCCCCTACCAGCCTGGACCCTTCCTTCACCTTCCCAGACCCAATGTGTTAGTGACACTCAGAAATGAAAATGCTTTGCCTGTAATTTCATTATCTTAAAGAAAGCAACAGCTTGCCCTCAACTAACGACCTGGTCAGACCTTCTAACTTTTATGTCCTTGAAACCAAAATATCTATTATGTTGTCTATAGAAGAGGGCAAATTACCAGCATTGAAATACCTCAGGCTTATTTGATCAAGACATCTCAAACACAAAGGTCTAATCAGAAGAGACGTCTCTGGACCAGGGACCTGGAACCCAGGGAGAACACCTGGGTTCCAGCTGTTTCCACCTGAGCTGAAACCACCTTCTAAGGCTGAAATGATTATTACCACTTACTGGATCTGGATACCGTTTTGACAATAATCACTTTTTTTTTTTTTAATTATGTAGCTTGGGAGTACCTGTGGCCCAAGGACACGATGACTACAGAACACTTTTCTGACATTTAAAATTCAATTTTGCCCTGGGAAAAATAAGCTTTAAGAACTCATCAACTTACCATTATTGAAATGATGTCTAGTAGGGAAGAATGTAAAAGGTCTTCAAAGGAAGACCGTGGTCTTATTTTTAAAATAAACATAACTATTTAAACCAATATGACTACATAATTATAAACCAATATAATTGGGTTTCTATCTGAGAGACTCACTATATTTATCAGATTTTAACTAGCTATGACTGTTCAGTTGTCAAGGTTTAACAAAGCACTTAAACATTCTTCAAGTAGAAACATGAATCTAAAGATCTTGGAAATAGTTCTTAGTTTTCCTAGGGGTCAAATAAAATAAAGAAGGCCAGTCAACTAGAATTCTGAAGATTTTTCTATTGAAGAAGCTGGCCCACCTCTATATTTTCCTGGGAGGACAGCTGTCACCAATGCATAGAACTAGGTGGAAAAAGGGATTACTTTAACTTACGTCTTAGATTCTCTAAGCTGGTGCCTGCCCATTCTAGATTGCTTAAGACAGAAGGAGAATTTATTAAATGATTCTGGAGCGTGTCATAAATCAAAAGGAACTAGACTTTTTGCAGATCTAAACTTGTGCCTGGAAAGCCAGCCGGAGCCTCTTGGTGCCGCTTCTCTGCCTGCCTCTTGACGCCTCTCAGTCTTCTCCCCTCTGAAGGCCGTTTCTGCCTGCTCCTGTGTCTACTGGATGGAAGACGGCTCCCTTGTCTCCCAAGGTTTTGTGGGTGTCTTGGTGCCAGAACGTGCCCAGATGAACTAGCTGAATTAAAAAATTCTAATTCCAATTTCTAAAGAGATCACTTTATTGATTCAATCAACTGGAGCCCAGGTCAAGGGCAGGGGTAGGGGCATCGTATGGTAAAAACATGGCAGCTAGGGACCTAGAGGGCCAGGCTGTCATGGGAGCGAGGCAGGCACCCCAAAGGGCACCTGCAACACCATTTATAATAAGAATGTAATTGGAAGAGAGCAGAGATGATGAGATCTCGTCACAATTGGGGGACTTTATAAAAACAGAAGTTAAGAACTGTATATCTTAACAATCTCAGGCCTGGGGAGCTGTGTTCCCCAGGCAGGCCCCATCAACCTCCCTGAGACACAGTTTCCTTATTGAAAATATGAGACCGGACTAGGACAATATATCCAGGCTACTTGACCATTTTTTTCTTGCACCCCACATGACCAACCACTTCCACTGATAGGCATGTTCTTTCCATACTGACAGGGGTGAATTCCAAATGGCCATGTGGGGAAAGGGAGATGAGAGATGGCACTTAGAGGGAACCACCAGGGTGAAGAGGGTTTATCAGCATCTTCTGGGGCAGGGGTCGGGTGCACGGTCTGAACTCTACCCACCAGATTCTGTTCCACACAGGGGACTTCTCCATACCCTCCACTCTCGCCTGTGAATAGCTGTTCTGAGGAATCCTCATTCATTGTTTAAAGAATAATTAATGGAATTGAAAAAGCTTAGCCTAAGGAAGGGGTATAGAGGGGAGAGGGATACATATTACAGACACTTCAAATACTGAAAGGACTGTCATATACAGGAGGACATCTGTTTCTTCAATGTGACTTCTATTGGCAGAATTAGAATCAAAAGTTAAAGGTTATGAAAAGACAAGTTTCAGACCATTTCAATTATTTTCTCTGAATTCACATTGTCCTAAATTGAATGTGTTTCTCCTGGAAGTCTGAGTTCCCCATCCCTGTGGTTATTCCTGCATCAAAAATCTGTAAATTGAGGAAGATCGAAGTAGAGAACACAAAGTTCAACCCTGAGATTTGGGGAGCATTTTTTTTTCAAAGTGTTTCTATCTGTGGTCTTACTTTCCTCTTATATCAAGTCTAAGGTATCATGTCCCTGTGTCTCACTTTTAAGGACATTGAGGACAAGAAGGTGAGTGACATGCCTAAAAACAGCATCAAGATAGCAGACTTGGGATTCGACTCTATGTTTTGGACTCCTGGCCCAGGGCTTCTGCCACTTGTCTTGTTTCTAGAACATAAGTTCTTAATTGCTATCAGGGGTGCACTCCTCAGCACACACTTTGCTTCCACACATGCTTACTGGCCCAAATTTCCAAAAGCACAGTTTCTGTGAACTATTACTCTTTCCATGATTTCTGTCCTATCTTCCTACCTCCAGGGCCCTTCATCTCTGCTGCTGTGTCCATAAATGCTTCCTCTGTTTGGTCTTGAACTAGCAGGCACACACTGTGATTTCCCACAAAGAAATTCACTCGCATTTTTGTTTTGAGAGCTTAGTGACTTTACTGAGGACTTGACGGTTGTGGGGAGAAATTGCACTTCGTACCACACAACTGCCTACCAGCCTCCTGGCTTACGCCTCCTGTTCTCCGTCTCCCGTAACTCCACCCATCCTCACAACCCCTCGCAAGACCCCTCACGAGAAGCACAGACCCTTCTGAAGGGCGGGCAGCATTTCACTCTACCTGCCTGTCTCATGAGTCCACACTCTTCAGGCCAGTCTGTCCTTCCTGCTTGCCTGCAATTAATAATAATCCATTAACAGATTCCCTTTTAGCACACATGAAAGGCAACTCTCTGTTCTGATTTCACGGATCTCCCTCAAAATTAACCTAGTTACCATGCCTGAAGCCTCACAGATTAGACCTATTAATGGTTCTCCGCTGGGGGAGGCTAGCCCTCAGCTCTCCCCCAGGGTATAGCTGGCAACATCTGGAGACAATTTTGGTGTCACTCTGGCAGGGAGGGGTTACCGCTGGCATTGAGAATCTTTCGGCCACAAAGACCCGTTCAGCCCGAAATGTCAATAGTGCTGACGTTAAGAAACCCTGAATTAGACCATTTTTCTAGTTGCCTTGCTTGAAGTTCTTCCAATTAGGCAACAGGCAATCTTATTAAAGCGTGGGAAGGGGTGGGGAGCATAACTCTAATCAGATTGCTTTCCACCCAAAGCCCCAAGTGGAAGTCACTGTCTCCGAAATAATAGGAATTCTGATGGGCAATTGTGGGGAAGGAAGAGAAAGAGAAGGGGTGGAGGAGGTTGTGGTGGGACAGGCTCAGGAGCCACAGGGACTAGCTTTGCCAGAGAGAAGGCTCCACAGTCATCAAGCTGGACGGAGATGAAGCCTCCCATTCACGGCGTCCTCCTGGTCCCTTGAAAATGTGCCAGAACAGCACCCCGCAGTCACCAGTCACAGGTGAGACACAAAACCACAGGAGCAATTCCTGTCCAGAACTGCTATCCCGCTGGAAGGTCGGGGCACTTCATTACTATTTGGGTGGATATTAAACTCTTCTCACATTTTATTTTCCTTCTAAATCGGAGGAGAGGGGGTAGTTTGTTTTTCAGTTTCATTTTCTCCTTTTTCTTGAAGGGAAGGCTACGTTGCCAAAAATACTTATGAACTACTTCCTTGTTTTTACGACGAGAAAATGGTTTATTTATTTTACAGTTACATCTGCATTAAAATGGCAGCCAGGGACAGTGGGGTTGAGAGCCTGGGGCCCTGTTCCCTCCCTGGGTGCCTGAAGTGCTCACGGGCATCTGGAGTGTCGGACCTACAAGGCCCCCCGGGGGCTAAGAACACACACATCCTGTTTAGTTTGTGCCCCTGCAGAGCCCAAACTTCAAGAGCAATGAAGACAGTGTCCAATCAAAGGCGGCTCCCAGCAGCCTTCCTGGCAGGCAGGGCCTGTGGGTTCCCCTCCAGGAACTGGCTGCTCCGCGGACTCCTCTGTTCCACCAGCAGCCGCTTCCCTGCCCCCTCACCCCCAGGGAGCCACCCTCCTCTGCTGATGGCTTGAGCTTCATTCACCAAAGGCCAGACTTGAGGACCAGTAACTGGTGACCAAAAACAGCTGCTTTAAGGCTCTGAAGGTCTCACTGCCTTCTATAGCCAGACAAAAACCCCCCAAAAAACTTGGGGTGGAGATCCTGGGAAAGAGCTCCCCAGCTCTGCACCCATTCTGATCATGGTGGGTCCTGTGCCCTTGCTTTCTTCACACTGGGAGCCCTTGGCAAGACTGCCAGTGGGGTCAGCTTTGCCCTGGTTTCCCAGTAAAAGCAGACTGAAAATTCAAATCAGCTCTCCACTCAGGCTGGCTTGGAAGAGGAGGAAGGAAAAAGGAGGAATAGTGCCCTTAAAATCCCTTCCAGATGTCCTTTTCAGGAATATTTTGTGGCCCTGAAACGTTCACTGTTTAGTGTTTTCTCGATACATAGTCTCCCCTCGGCAGATGCCCTAGGACAGTCAGACGCCATGAAAACGGCGTGGGGCTGATTAAGCAAAGATGCATTCACTGACCGCATGACCAGAAAATGTGAGGACCCAGGAATGCACTGTTTCGACATCAGAGGCCAAGGAGATTCTTGTTTGCTTTAGAAGAGACTTGGTCTTGTGAGGGGGTGAGTGGGGGTTTTAAGGGGCGTGTTATGTGTTAGTTGAATTCTCAAAGCTCTTTGGATAAGAGAAGTGGTGTCAGGGAGAAGGGGGTGGGTTGTAAATGGTGTGATCAAGGCCTAATTTGCACATCAAATAAATTTTTAAAAAATCAACCACACAAAGAAGATAAAACCTATTTTCAAAATTAAAATCTTTTCATTCCTATCTTTAACAAAGTAACTTTGTTTTCTAGGCCCTGTGAACACTCTGGAATCTTATATAAGAGAAACAACTTGTTTTTTGTTTTATTGAGTTTATAATCTTTCCAATTGTAATAGTATCAGCTGCACTATATGCCATCATGTTAATATACACAGGTGTCCCCTGTAGCAGTAAATAAATGACACTGGAATCCATTGTTTGTGTAGATAGTTTTTTCTCTCTTGTGGATTAATTCCCTAGACATCCTCAGTGTAGGATTAATAGACTTCACTGAATCTTTTCAGGACTAACATTTTTTTTTTTCTTTTTAAGTGTATTTTATTGATTATGCTGTTACAGTTGTCCTAATTTTTTTCCCTTTGTCCCCCTCTGCCTGGTACCCCCTTCCCTCCAGCAATCCCCCTGCCTTCTGTTAGTTCATGTGGGACACCCCTATCATGTTCTTGACCTTAAAACGGCATCGTTTCATCTCCAAATACATGGGATTCCAAGTTATCATTTGCTGTTAATTCCTAGCTCAATCCCACTGCCAACATTATCTGTGTGATTGCAGGCCTTTGAAACTTGACTTTACTGCTCAGCATATGGCTAAATTTTGTAAATGTTCCTCCTGTATTAAAATTTTTGTGATTTCCTGTACCCTGTAGGTATTTCCAACATCATCATTTTTTTTTTCTCCTTAAAACACAGCAAGTATAGTTGTCCTATAATCTGTGTCTTGTGTTTTCAGTATCTGTTATCTCAAGGAGTCTGTTCTGAGGTCTCTGCTGGTTCTGGTTGTGGTTGATGTTCGTGCCACACAGGCACTGGGTAAGTCTGACGCTCTGGAGGCAGCGCTATCACTGCCCGCCCCACCCCCCAGCCCCGCCCCTGGCACCTTGGACAACCATCGGGCCAGAGCTACTTTAGCCACTTTCACTATCTGAGGGTGTTTTGGCTGTCTAGGCATTGCACATATGGGCTGCAGGAACTTTCCCCCATTTTGCCCTTGCTCTGCAATAACCTGGCAGTTGCTTTTAGGGAGAGAATTATTTCTGATTCCCTTCCTCCTGAGTGTGCAGCCTTTGTCCCCTATTAGTCTCCCCACCTGTCTTTCTCACCTGCCAAGACTCCAACTCTCAGGACCACAAGCACCCCCAGGAAGAGCCCTCTGTGTGCCGGCTCAGGGCTCTGATTTCCTTGACCATAGCTTGTAAATTCCTGACACTTCTGCCAGCTCCTTAATGCACTTAAGACAACGTCCAGGATTTTCAGTTGTTTTCAGTGGAAGGAAAGTAGCTTGGCCCATCCTACTGGAAGTAGGCATCCTGGTTCTTTAGTTAAGGTTCTTGAGTTAGTTACCCATACAACAGAGCGCACTGGACACACAATTTTTTTTCCTGTGATACAATACTATGAGCGCATTTGCCCTCCAAAAGTTGAATGAATCTTAAGTAATTTGAGTTTGTTTTTAAACTACTCTGTCCTGTGGAAAAAGAATGAAGCCTGAGCCTGGGCTGGACAGCTCAGTTGGTTGGAGCATCATCCCAATACACCAAGGTTGTTGGATTCAATCTCTGGTCAGGTCACATACAAGAATCAACCACTAAGTGCATAAACAAGTGGAACAAGAAATTGATGTTTTTTTCTCTCTCGTCTTCTCTCTCTTAAAACAAATCCATTAAAAAAGTAAAAGAATGAAGTCTGTTGCTTTGTTTTGATTTCATTGTTCATGTGGGAGAGTAGGGGGACATAAAAACCGAAGCTCGAGCATGAAGTTATAGTTGTGGGACACATAAAAAGAATTATGAACACTAAGGATTTAATTAATATATCACAAAGCCTTTATGCAATATATTTTATTATAAACAATACAATAATCAATTGTATGCAATGGCATTCACATATTCAGGATACGTATCACTTGGCAACATTTCAAGGCATTTTTAATAAAGTCAATTCAAGTCAAAACTAGGCCAAAGCACCGATGAAGGCCAAAGCCAAACATACAGTTATTATCTGAATAATCAAATTAAAGATAGGCTTTTGTGTTTATTTCCTGCAGGGCGTGAATAGAAACTGTGTGATAGTAAATATTCAAACCAAGCTCAATATTAAAAAAAAGTAGTTTCTACTTAAAAACTTACAAAATGCAAAGTGGTGTCAGGGATTAGATCTTAGAACAAGAACATTAGTGGAAACTAACATTGATACTTTCTATTAATTAAACTCCAGACATTTCAATTTTCCACTTTTATGAATAATTCTTTAATGTGTATGAATCTGTATCAGTGTCTCAGATTATTTCCTCAGGATAGATTCCAAG